CGGCCACCTCTGCACCGAACAAACCCGACCCCCACACCCCAATGCAAGGCGTTCCACGCCCCCGCCGCCGCCGCCGCCGCGCTCCCCGGGCCCGCCGCCGGTGCGCGCTCACCATGATCAGCGTGTGGTTCCTCTGCTCGGCCGAGGCAGCCTCCGCATCTTGCTGGGGTTTGCTCGGGTGCTGCTGCTTGCCGCCGCCGCCGCCCGATTTCTTGGCCCTCTGTTCCAGGGTCCGCTGGTAGAGGCTCACGGTGTCCCGGCGCTCGAGCTCCAGCTGCTCCACCTGAGCCTGCTGATACCTGTTCTCGCAGTTGACGTGGTGCCGCCGGCAGCCCTCGATGCGCTGGCGGAGCCGCTCCACCACCGTGCTGTGCTTGGGAACGGCCGCCGAGCCGCCGCCGGGGCCCCCGGAGCCGCCGCCGCCGCCGCCGGCAGCGGGGTGATTGCTGCTCGGAGCAGCGGGAGTACTATTGGGAGTAGTATTCACACCGATGCCGGCCCCGCCGAGGCTGCTGTTCAGGCTACTGTTGATGCAAATACTACTGCCATTCGCGGCAGCAGTGGGGGCTGCGAAATCCCCCATCCTGCTCCCCGGGCACACTATTTTGGAAGAACTTTTTTTATCCACCCCCCCCAGCCCCCCCTATCAGCCTCCTGCTTGGGTCCAAGGATTAAAATAGTTTAAGTGGAACGCGGGGGAGACGCAAGCACATGGATGGAAACAGCGATCCCGACGGGGCGGAAAAAAAAGGGGGGGTGAAATTTTGGGGTGGTTTTTGTTTCCTTTTTTTTTTTAACTGTAAAGCTCGAGGGAAAAAAAAAGAGGGGGTGTTATCGGAATACCATCAGACACCTATCAACAAAAAGAATCACAACAAACTGAGCCAGCAGCAAATCGGGTTGCAACTCCAGGGGAGATCCGCTCCTCGCCTGCCTTCTTTTTATAATCCATTATTTTCTAATAAATTCCAGGAGGTTTCCGGTGGTTGGCAAGCATTTTCTCCCTACGTACCGAAAAACACACCCCATGTACACACACAAGCATATGCCTCCAGTGCGGACACGCGCGACACACACTCACTCCACACCGCATCGGAAAACGGCAAGCTTGCTTATTGCATTTTCCTTCCACAAAAAAGTTTTGGTGTTTATGCCGCCCCGTGTTCTCAAAGTACTTTGGCTGCTCAGTTGCATTTCACAGGAACCTAGATATCGAATCCTCGGGCTGGGGGAAGTAAACACATGGACAGTCCGAGGCGATTGCAAAAGTAGATCGGTGAAGTCCTTTGCAAAACGCCGCGCGGAGAGCAGCCCCTAACGCTCGGCTGGGCTGCCGCTGCCGCCGCTGCTCCTGCCACCATCACAATGATCAACTGCTCGCCGCCGCCGCCTCCTCCTCCTCCTCTCGCTCCTCCACCTCCTCCTCCTCCTCCATGCCAGCGGAGTGATATCAGGACGCGCGAGCTCAGTAAACACGGCAGCGGCGGCGGCTGGAGGCCGTGAGACAAGCCCGGGGACACAGCGCAAAACCCGGCCCGGATTCTCACCCGGCAGGAGCGGGCGCGGCACGCACCGGCGCCCGGTCCCCTCCTCGCTCGCCTCGCCTGCCCCCGCCCCTCCCACGCCCCCAACCTTACTAAGAGTCTGACTGGGAAGCCCGAGCTGCCAGAATCCAGAAAAGGACAGATCCAGGGGGATCCGGGAAATGAATCAACTTTTGACCTGTGAGGGAAAAAAGAGAGATCCAGAAAGCACGGACGCGCCTGGCTGGATTTCCTTATTCCAAGCGAGGTATCCTGTGAGCTCAAGTTGTTGTTAGACATGTGTGCATCCTATTTCAGAACTGTGCGTGAGCAGGCAGAAACGTCGATGCTTCACAGCAGTTGTCTCATCCCAACCCATGAAGGGGTGGGTGGTGGGTGGTGGGGGTGGTGGAGGAAAACCACAGGGATGAATGACTTGCTTTTAAAACCCAGGTAATAAGTCTTAACTATAATAACCCTGCTTATGGACACTTTGTTCAGACTCCAGGCCCGTCTTACAAATCCCAAACCCTGAATAAATACAATAAGCATCAACACACCTGGAATATTGTTGAATTCAATGCCCATAATAACTGTTGTTACTGAGGCAATTATATCCCTCCTTTACTCTTAGGGGAAGAAAAAAACCCTAAAATAAAGCAAGCAGGGAGTTGGAGGTGAGGCTAACAGTACATTTTAACAGACTGCTTTGAACACGAGGTGCTAATGACAGCAGTAATTAAGGGTCCTTCGTAAATCAACTGGAAAGATTGCAGATTTCATGGACTAGAACTATAGGAAAAACACAGCATTTCACAGTTTGTCATGGCCAAAACAAAACAAGCAAAAATAACAGGCTCACTTAACTGCTGGATTTATTTCTTTCTGTTTAAATGAATTCACAGTAAGCACAATTAAAACAGAATAGCGACCCCAGAAAACAATCTAAACTTTTCATTTTATTAGGGTGAATCATCCTTCTACATCTGGAGTATCTTACAAAACAAACAAACAAGCAATACGGATCAAATATATAATCCTTGAACCCAAACATAACCTGTTACATACACAGAAGTTTAATAAATTAAAGTGGAAAACGGCTAGCATTTCTGGATCACCAGGAGAACATAAATATTGATTGGGAGATGTTAATAAGAAAACATTCTATATTATCTCAATAAATCTTATAGAATTGTTTTTTAGGGTAAAAATACACCCCAGTTTTCTAAAATAACCAGGAATAAAAGAACTTTGGATCTCATGCATTAGTCATGAGATCTGATTTAAACCATCTTCATTTCTTGGCATTGCAGATTAGCATAGGATGCTATTTCTAACCTCATAATGTTAGAGCTATATTTTTCTTCATTAATCAGATATATATGGTGAACTATATCATTAACCTCCACTGGATTATGTGGTAAAATCGGCAGGAATCTATTGATTAGCATAGCGTGAAGTTATCTCGAAGGAGTAAAACCAATATGAGAAAATATCTTTCGCTGAAGTTGCCATACTTTTTGGGGTGTGGGGGAAGCTCTTTAGTTAATGCATCATCTTCTACATCAAAAGTACCTTTTCAAGTCCCAGCCAAAAATTTAACGGAATGAGTTCTCTAGTGTCAAGTCTGTGCAGACTCTACAACCATAGAAGAAATATTAAGAACAAGAAGTGGCAGAATTGGCTATGGTCCTTTACACATATTCACTCAGTCATGTCTCCATTAACTCAGGAAACACATGGCTTCACCACAGAGCGGAAGCTATGACTGTGCACTCAGTCGGCTCTATCTTCACCATAGTTGAAGCCTCATCCCTCCTCCTACCCCAACGGTTTGCAGCACCCACATAGAGACTGCAACTTGATTTACAGGGCGCAGGGAAATGGAGGGTATTGGGTCCTCCGTTCAGAGACTCGGGTTCTACTTCTGGCTTCTTCCTGTCCCTTAGAACCTAATTTTTATTTTTGGAGATCACATCCCTGCAAAAAATAAATAGCAACAATAGCAGCACCATGTATTCTCATCAAGCCATCTCTCTCACTTATTATCATGAAAAGAAACCAAAAAAAATACCCAGGACTTTGCATCCCTCCCTTTGGGGAACCACACTGACAGAGTGGCTACCAGCAAGGGTGGGGTGTGGACACAACATATGGCTTAAGACCTCCATGAAACTTAGACCTCCGTGAAAACAAAAAGCGTTGCTCTTGTTTAACTACAGTGTGGTTTGCTGCCTGACTTTAGTACGTGAAAGAAAAGCTGACATTCCTGTGTATATATTCGTACGCAGACACCAATCTTTTTCTCCTTGAGGAGAGGAGAGTGGCAGGTACACACTCTCAGACAGATGTGGGGAAAGGACTGAAACTGTGTGGCGAGGAGAAGGACGACGCTTTGAGGAAATTGAGCTGTGCAGTACTCCACTGTGACAGACTCAAGATCAAAACCCCCTTCCTAATGATGCAGGAGGCTTAGAAGAAGCAGGAAGTCAACAACACTTGAGTGTTGAGCAACACAGGCAAGTCCTTGATGAGAGATCCTGATCTACTCCAGTAACTAGGAGAAGCAGAGATCTCTAAACCAGGTCTCTTTGGGATCTATCCCCCCAAGCTTTCCTGTTTTCTTGGTCACCATCCTCACCATCCTAAATGACTCTTTGAAAATCATTGCCATATCCAACTGTTGGAGAAGCAATTTATAGTTCGCTCTGACTACCGGGCACCCTGCCAGTAGGACCATCTTTCTCCTTTATCTGAATCTGCTATGGGGCAAAACTTCAGGATGGGAGTTCTAGATACTTCTTTGATACTGCTTTAGAAGAGTCCCAACTAGAGATCCCATAAGAGCGACAAGAAAGAAATCACTCTGGTTACATCTTTCGATTGATCATATTTCTCTGGATGCTGAAGAGAGAAGGTCTTGATGGATCGGTACCTGCACCGGTTTAGCGCTAGCTCTGAGCCGTTGTTAGCAGTTCTAAGCAGTTGAACTACATCCCTTTTTCTCGATGCCACTGCTGTGTCATTGCCCTATGTCCAACTGACAGGGCCCTGTGTCCTGGTGACAAGAAAGAGGCCATTGTGTAGACATCTCAGTCTATGTGCTACTTCTGCTTCTCTGTTACTCTGCATCAATAAAACCGGTTTAATCATTATGCCCTAAAAGAGCACTTGCACCAAGGTAATGTAGGAATCAAACCTTTATATATCCTCACAGGGAGGGACCTTGATATTCCACACTTATTAGCAACAGTGGGGCACACCCTTAACTCTCTAGCAGTAGCCTCCTTTCAATAACAATAGATGAATATGTTTCTGGTCTCCCGTGTGTCAGGCCTTCCATGTGCTTTCTCTCGCCCTCACTGCCCATGAGTCCGACTCCTAGTGACCCTGTAGGACAGGGTAGAACTACCCCTATGAGTTTCCAAGACTGTAACTCTTGACCAGAATAGAAAACCTCATCTTTCTCCCTCAGAGCAGCTGGTGGTTTCAAACTGCTGACCTTGGGCTTAGCAGCCCAATGCATAGTCATTATGCCGCCAGGGCTCCTAAGCTCTCTTGGCTCTGGGTATCTCACAGTGGACAGAATGCAAGGCCAATCTTGGTAACGGCCAGTTAGAACTTGGGGCAGCGCTGAATGCATACTTGGGGTGGGGGTGGGGGGTTGTCTTCAGAGATATAATGTCAGACCTCACTGTGGAACGTAGGTAGATGGTAACAAAGCAATGGTTGGGGTGGGTACACAGTGGGTGCTGTGGAACAGTTTGGACAAGGCTCCGAGACCCGTTGTTTCAAAGAAAACAAGAAACAAATAGCACGAGTAGTTCCCTCTGCTAGACTTAGGAGTGGGAATGGGTGTGGTCAGAAAGGAGCTTTAGAGGACAGGAGTTAGATCATGCAAGGACATCCCAAAAGCTTCTACAATGCCTTTGGTTCAGTGGCTGTCATTACAGGGATCTCACCTGATTTCCATCTTTACTCTGGTAATGTGGAGGATGCGTTATTACAATGTGTTCGATATGATTAAAATGTTTTCCAAAGTGTCTTTTGAAGACCCTGGTCCATTAAGGTGCTTTATCAGACAAGGTTCTGAGCCAAGAAAGCTTAGAAGATGATCCGTTCTCTATCTCTCTTTTGGAAATTCATTACCGCGTTGAAGGCCATGTGCATTCAGGCGGCAAAGGATGTTCACCTTTACCCAGCATGTCCAATATGCTGTGCTGTGCCCCAGCGAGGAACAGACGGCCGGAAGCAGAAGCACTGGGAAGGAGAGAGTTAACCCTGAAGGCAATTCTAAGTCCCTTGAAGTTTACAGCGGCCTGGACCTGCAGCCTGGCTGCAGTAGTGGCTGCAGCTCCAGGCCCTCCACTCAGTTTAACTGGATGTGTTGCATCTGAACCTTTACCTCGTGGAGAAGTAGCAACACACGGCCACAAATCCCAAGAGGGTGAATTTCATGAGCCTTTTGCAGCATTGGTACATCATATTAAAATTGTCTTTATATAATCTAGCCTCCTTATTGGGGGAAAGGTCAGCCTTAATTAATTGGAAAATCTTAATCATGTAATATCTTTAAAGGTATAAAGTTTCATTATACTTGAAGCATGTGCTGAATTTAACCTAATAAATACTGGTCTCTTGGAGGCATTTTTATGATTTCCTTCTGCCCAGGATCCTGATTCTGTGTGAACCATAAACCCCATGGACTAGGAGTGTTTCAAAAGTTTGTTTCCTTAAATATTTAAATATTCCTGGCAAGATCCTATTTCCAT